GAGTGCTGCAATGAACAAACAGGTGCAGATGTCACTTCGACTATACATTTATCTCTCTCTGAGATATATTCCCAGGAGTGGTATTCCTGGGTCAAATGGGAGCTCAATTTCTAATTTTTTGAGAATCGTCCATACTGTTTTCCAGAAGGGCTGAACCAGTCGACATTCCCACAAAGAGTGAAGGAGTGTGTCCCATTCTCACCACATCCGTGCCAGCATCGGTTGCTTTTGTTCTTTTGAATGTGGGCCAGTCTCTGAGGTGTGAGATGGAATCTCATTGTGGTTTTGATCTGCATCTCCCTGATGATTAATGATGTAGAGCATTTTCTCATGTGCTTTTTTGCCATTCGGATTTCTTCTTTGAGAAAGTTTCTGTTCATTTCATTGCCCCATTTTTGGATGGGGTTGGATGTTTTCTTCTTGTGGAGTTTAACCAGTATTTTGTACATCCTGGATATCAACCCCTTGTCAGATGTGTATTTGGTGAATATCCTTTCCCATTCTGTAGACTGTCTTTGTATTTTGGTCACTGTTTCTTCGGAGGTGCAGAAGCTTCTTAGTTTAAGATAGTCCATTTATCTATCTCTGTTTTCACTTGCTCGGCCAGTGGCGTGGCATCTTTAAAGATACCATTAGCTTCAATGTCATGGAGGTTTTTTGCCAACTTTATCTTCAATGTACCTTATGGTTTCTGGTCTGATGTTGAGGTCTTTAATCCATTTTGATCTTACTTTTGTACATGGTGTTCGGCAGAGTTCTGAGCCTATACTTTTGCATGTAGCCATCCAGTGATGCCAACACAATTTATTAAAGAGGCTTTCCTTACTCCACTTCACATTACTTGCACCTTTATCAAAGATTAGATGAGTATATGATTGAGGGGAGATGTCAGTGTATTCAACCCTGTTCCATTGGTCTGCAGTTCTGCCTTTGTTCCAGTACCATGCTATTTTAATTATTACTGCTTTGTAGTACAGTTTGAAGTTCGGGAGGTTGATTCCTCCCATTTTCTTTTTCCCAAGAATTGCTTTAGCTATTCGTGGGGGCTTATTGTTCCATATAAATTTCAGGAGTGTTTGCTCCATTTCTTTGAAGAATGTCATGGGTATCCTTATAGGGATTGCATTGAATTTATACAATGCTTTCGGTAGTATTGCCATTTTGACAATGTTAAGTCTCCCGACCCATGAGCAGGGTATATCTTTCCATTTCCTCATGTCCTCTTTTATTTCCTGAAGTAGCGTTTTGTAGTTTTCTTTGTACAGGTCCTTTACTTCCTTAGTTAAGCTGATTCCTAGGTACTTGATTTTCTGGGGCACAATTGTGAACGGGATTGTTTTTTGTTGTTGCTTTCTTCTCTCTCACTGTTTGCGTATAGGAAAGCCATGGACTTTTGGGTATTGATTTTATAGCCTGCAACTTTACTATACGAGTCTATTGTTTCTAGGAGTTTTTTGGTGGAGGTTATTGGGTTCTCTAAGTAGAGTATCATATCATCTTCGAATAGGGAGAGCTTGATTTCTTCCTTTCCTACCTGAATGCCCTTAATATCTTTTTCCTGCCTAATCGCTATTGCAAGTACTTCCAGTACTATATTGAACAGCAGTGGAGAGAGTGGGCATCCCTGTCTCGTCCCTGGTCTTAGAGGGAAGGCTCTCAGTTTTTCCCCATTGAGGGTGATGCTTGCTGTAGGCTTGTGGTACATGGCTTTAATTATGTTGAGGAAGGTCCCCTCTATACCCATTTTGGTAGGGTTTTCATCCTAAAGGGGTGCTGGATCTTATCAAATGCTTTCTCTGCATCTATTGATATGATCGTATGCTTTTTATCTTTTCTTTTGTTGATATGGTGGATTATGTTGATGGATTTCCGAATGTTAAACCATCCTTGCATCCCTGGGATGAATCCTACTTGGTCATGGTGTATGATCTTTTTGATGAGTAGTTGGATTCTATTTGCTAGTAGTGTGTTGAGGATCTTTGCATCTGTGTTCATCAGGGATATCGGCCTGTAATTCTCTTTCTTTGTGGTATCTCTGTCTGCTTTTGGTATCAGTGTGATATTTGCTTCGTAGAAACTGTTCAGAAGTGTTTTTGATATTTCAATTTCGTGGAAAAGCTTAAAGAGGATTGGGATTAAGTCCACTTTAAAGATTTGGAAGAATTCACTGGTGAATCCATCCGGGCCAGGACTTTTGTGCTTGGGGAGACTTTTTATTACCATTTCAATTTCCTTGATGGTGATAGGTCTGTTCAGTTATTCCAGGTCATCTTGATTCAGCCTTGGGAGTCTGTAGGAGTCTAGGAATTTATCCATTTCCTCGAGGTTTTGATGTTCCGTGGCATAAAGCTTCTCAAAGTACTCCCTGAGGTGTGGGAAGCTAAGAGCCCTCTCAAAGACCCTGGCCATGGTTCCAATGTTAGGAACTTCTTGGGACAAACATTGTTGACAGTCTCCCAGGACTTCATGATCTCAGTGGATACCTGATCTATAGCCACACATTAGGCTGACAGCTTATCTGGCCTTATCTATAGGAACCTCCAGGATGCATCTACTCCCTAAGACCCTTTGATATACAAATGTAAAGCTCAGGATGCACCAACTGCCACAAGACCCTTTGATGTGCAAATGTCTACCTTGAATGTTAGGTAAAGCTCTTGTTGCTGACCTTACCATATATGGTTATATTGCTTCTGCTCCTGACTGAGCTGCGCAGACCCTATATAAATAGCCTGTATCCCTCAATAAAGCCTGTCCCTTTTCCTCTCTTTTTCTATTTCTAAACTGTACTCTGTCTCTTGTGTCTCATGTTCATTCGGTTGGTCCCTCCTTGCACCATCAGATCAATCCTCGGGCCACCTCCGCGGGCCGGAGAGTGGTTACCGGGGCCCCCTGCAACTGGCGCCCAACGTGGGGCGGTGTCTAGGAGATGACCTCCGAACTCCCCTCCAGGAAGCAGGAAGCAGCGGCCGCTGGGACGCACAGAAAGGTGAGTGTGTGCCTAATCAAAATCCCCACCTCATGATCGAGGCCGAGGGGGCAGCATCAGGGGAGAATTGAGTGTTCAGTCTCATATATGAGGTATATGAGACGGTCACTGGGTTGGATAAGGCCACCCTGCGCTCCTTTGTTGTGTCCTTTGTGGAATGTGTGTATGAGTGAATGAGTGGTCAGAGGCTTCCTCGCTTCTGATTCGAGTCTGTGGTTCCAAGGCTGGGCACCCTTAAGGTTCCTGAAAAGGCCACGGAATCTGGTTGGGCTGCCTGTGGTTCCAAAGGAAACATCCGCCTTTCTCTTTCCCTATGGCTGTTTCCCACTGGCTAGACAAGCAACTGAGTGGGCCCCTTTGTTGGGCCTCCCCCATGTCTTGCGTCTGTTTTTCCCAGGTATTCACGCGGGGCTTCAGCCTTCCAGTGACCCATCTCCTGTCTCGTCTCTATTCATGTTTTTCTTTTCTGCCTTCTAGTCCTTCTGTCTGTGTCACAATTGAGTGTTCAGTCTCATATGAGGTATATGAGACGGTCACTGGGTTGGATAAGGACCCCCCTGTGCTCCTTTGTTGTGTCCTTTGTGGAATGTGTGTGTGAGTGAATGAACGGTCAGGGGTGTCCTCGCCTCTGATTCGGTTTGTGGTTCCACGGCTGGGCACCCTTAAGGTCCCAAAAAAGGCTACGGAACCCGGTTGGGCTGCCTGCGTATCCACAGGAAACATATGGTCTATGGTGGTGCTGACTTAGACATCAGCCGCAAGTCACCTTTGGCTGATCCACTACGGCTAAGTTTCCCATTGGCCAGGCAAGCAACTGAGTGGGCCCCTTTGTTGGGCCTCCCCCATGTCTTGCGTCTGTTTTTCCCAGGTATTCACGCAGGGGACAGCCTTCCAGTGACCCATCTCCTGTCTCGTCTCTCTTTATGTCTTGTCTGCCTTCTATTTCTTTCATCTGTCTTACTCCTTCTCTCCTTCCTATATTTCTCCTTCCTATATTCATGTGTAAGCAAGAAGGAATTGTTCGTGGTTTAAAGAACTCCCTTAAACACTGAGGAATCTAGGTAAAGAAAAAGGACCTTGTCAATTTCTTTCTTCTTCTTGAAAATGTGTGTATAAGAAAGGTAGGGGCTGCGACTGTCTTCAATCCCCATCTCGGCCTTTTCCTACTGGCAATGAAACTTAGAGACCTTCTTAAAGGGCTAAGGCCCTTCTGCTCCACAGTCCCCGGCCCTTCTCGGCCTCCCTCTATCCCCTCCCCCTCTATCAGCCCAAATGTGTTTCAGGTGGCCCAGTTAGTGGGAATATCTCTCTCCCTCTCACTCTCTCATTTCCTGGCGTTTCCTCCCTGCAGGCACGGGTTGAGCACTTAAAAACCACTAGGGCGCTCGCCGCTTGAAGTCTCCCGTGACAGGATGAGGGGGACACAGCCGCGATTCCCAGAATAAAGTCGCATCCCCCGCAGAAGAAAAACTGTGCAACGTAAGGTACTCGTCAGTTAAGCACATTCACATCCCCAGATTTGAAAACGCCACCTTTCTCTTTCCCTCTCTCTCCATCCTCCTTTCTTAGGACCTTGGGAAATTCGCTTAGCAAAAGGGAACTCTTTGTTGTGGGTCTTAGGGACTCTCTCAAGGTTCCAGTTACTAGCATTACAGAGTAGCTTTGTCATGTTAAATAAAAAAAAAACCAACTTGGGAGTGCCTGAATAATTTCTATCTGACCCTTGGCCCAGGAGAGGTCCCCGGAGCCTTGTGGATTGTAGGGCATTTTTGAATCGGATATAGAGGATGCTGTGAAATTCAGAGGCCTTCTTAAAGGTAAAGGTAAAGGCCCTCCCGTTGATCGTCGATTTGCTCGAGCGGGCCCAGTAACGTCTCCATTGGAGACTTTGTTGTTACTGTGTCTGGCATATCGAATACTCTCTGTAGCTTGCCGGGCTCTCCGAGAGGGGCGGAGGAATCGAACTCGGGTCGGCCATGTTGGCCGCTTGTAAGGCGAATGCCCTACCGCTGCGCTCGCTTCGGCAGCACATATACTAAAATTGGAACGATACAGAGAAGATTAGCATGGCCCCTGCGCAAGAGGCCTTCTTAAAAGAGAAAAATCTCTTGGGCCTCCTCTCCCGTGAAGAAGTCCATGTCCCAGTACCCCTCAGTTACTATCCTCATGTCTGTTTCTGAGGCTAATGTTCCTCGTTTATACCCAGTTCTTAAGGACAATCCCACAGATCCACCCTTTGCTCCCCACCATGACTCCCTTTCTGTCCTATCCCCAGAGGATGAGGCAGACCTCCAGCAGGAGGCTGCCCGATATCAAGAGCCCAAATGGCCCCCACACCTCCCTACCCTAAAATGTATTTGCAAGAGAAAATTGACCTCTTTTTGGCTCCAGAATTCCAGAGTTATGCACTGCTAATTAGTAACTTGATCTGGAAAACCTGGCGACAGGAGAAGACTTGGAAGAACTGAAACCCCGAAGGTGAAAATCACGTACACGCCCTTTGGGCAAATTCGGATATCTCTGTGTGACTGGTGAGTGTGGTGCGCACCCCTGTAAGTGGAGGACCGGTCCGAACGAGTGTAGGAGTGTGATCTGTGCGTGTGTTCCTAGTGTGTGTATTGCCTTAATATCTTTCTCCTAGTTCTGCTTGTTAAGATTGTTTGACATGGTTCAGAATGGATCGACCCCCAAGGCTTTAATTCTTAACCACATCTCTGAGATCCACAGGAAAGCTCAGGATCTGGGCTTGAGGGTCAAGAAAGGTAAGTTAGGCGTTTATTGTTCATCAGAATGATCTTCCTTTGGTGTGGATTGGCCCCCACAAGATTCCTTCTCAACAAATCATGTGGCTACAGTAAAAGAGGTAATCTGTAGAAAATCTACTGTGAAGGTACACTCCCCTGGAAATCTCTAGGGGGCATGGGGAAGGAATGTGATGACCTCTGTGTGAATGGTCTCTGCAAAGAGGCACCCCTCCTTTGTCTGTTTTGCTTCACCCTCCACTAGGAGGAAGCCCACTAGTGAGAAAGACTCTGGGAAACTAAGGCAGGCCAATTTCCAGGTTTAAGATCCTTTTCCCCACCCAGGTCTAACTAGAAGATAGAGGTCAATTGAAATGCTAATGAAGGCAGTTCAGAAAAAAAGAAAAAGAAGGGGTAAAAGGCCAAAGTAAAGGCCAATTTACAGGGGGTTAGAATCCCCTGGGAAAGGCCAAAGTGACAGACCTGGAAAAAAGTTTTGCCAAGGAACCATCCTTTTTTTTAATATAGATTATTGCTTGCAATTAGAAAAACATCCTAGGAGCCTTCAGCTAGGTAGTTTAGATAAAGAGTATCTTGTTGACCCCCGTAACACCATGTGGCCTGAGTATAGTGGGGAAAGATAGTCAGTGAATGGCAGTTTGCATTACCAGATCATTTTGGAGAAAGATCTTTGCAGGTAAAGAAAAGAAATAGGAATATCAAAGCAGAGGAGGCAGGAAAATGCAAGATCTTATGATTTACTGTCATCAGAAACAAAGAAGTGTGTAACTAAGGAGCCTATCCCCATGTCTGATAAGAATCTCCCTGCCTCAGAATTAGCCTTGGCCAAAAAATGGCAACATCTTTGTGATAATTTATTTTGCCAGTTTATACCAACAAGCGCTTTCCTGACCCATTTTTAACAGCAGGAGACTGGCTGTTTAGGCTGGGAAATGGGGAGCAGTGGTCCCAATCTGATAAGGTTTCTTTGCCCTGGGGACTGTCCCTTCCTTTCTCAGACCATCAGTTTCTCCCTGTCATCTTTTAAAGGGTCAGATTGATCGATCAATTGCAGATGTGTGCATATGTATATTTGGTGTTTTAGTCAGTTCATTGTCTGTCTGTCTGTCTGTCTGTCTGTCTGTCTGTCTGTCTGTCTATAGGGAACACTCGAGTGTTGGAACCAGGCTGAAATCAGTAGTAGACATTTTAGAGAACTTAGTGATATGCTACCCAGTGATTTAAGAAATGCAGTTGTTTTTGGAACCTGTCAGACAAGGGTGAATCCTTATCAGAAGGTTGAGCCTATAGAGAAAGCAGAATTCTCAATCTAAATTTCTTGATAGAATAACATTAATGATTATGTGATTAACAGTTGAAATCCTTTTGAACTTAAGAATCTTGTACTATTTAGAAGAGCTATGGAACTAGAGCCTGATACTAAAAGTGAAATAAGAGTTCAGAGAAAGCAAGACTTTATCTTACAAGCCTCAGCTAACTTTAATGAAAAATTAGGCCGCTTTTACAAACTACAGAGGTACAGAAGCCATTAAAATGAAGTTTCCTTATTTTCCTAGACAGTGGCAATTTATAGGATAACAATTGGATTTGTCCATTCTTCCTTGATACAAGGAGCTAAGGTTTATCAGGCTACACCCATCACAGTGCTCCTGAGTCACTTCAATTCCTTTGTTTTTCAGTAACCACTTCTTATGCTCTCCTCCCCAACCAGTTAATCAGCTTTTCCTCTAGTCAGAATCTGTTAATTTGTAAGATCAGATCCTTCTAGGACACTGAATTTGTATTGTAAATTGTGAGTCGATCTGCTAAGTGAGAATCTGTCCTAGAAGAATGTCCTGACTAGTTTGGATGAGGCTAAACAATTTTTCCCTTTCAAACTGCCTTCAGTAAAAAATTTCAGTATACTGCGAGAAGCAGCTTCCCTTATCTCACAGAAACCTTGCTGTTAGAGGCAGCTTCTCTTACCTCACAGAGCAGATCTCAGGTGCTAGCCAGGCCTGATCCTTGGGATTAGATGCCAGGCTCCAGGAAGGCTGATCTTTGAGATGTAGATTGATCTTTGATGTGCTAATCCAAGTGCTTGTAGCTTGTAAAGGTGAGGACAAAATTACTGGCCTGCAGATGTAAAGAAGCAATGTATGTTTTGCTGCCTCAATGTTCTTTCTCCTTTTGATGACATCACTGTATTGCCCCTTTAGAGGTACCATGATCTATATGAGGAGATTTCAGGGCTCTCTACTAGGAGGTCTGAGAGAACAGGGGAAAACATGCTTGAAAGAACCGGAGTTTCTTTTATGGGATATAATTAGACTGTAAGAATGGGCTGGGAGAGGCAGAAGAGATACCAGAGTGAATGGAGAGAGGATTGGATTAAACTGCAACTAAGATCAAGCAGCCTGGTCATAAGGTTTCCTTCCTTTTCCTGCCCATCTCCATCCACCTCCCTGGAGTGGGGGAAACTACAGAATGTGGGCGGTGGGAAAGATAGATTGCTGCCATCCTTTTTGTGTTCACACAGCAATTCAAATATTTTCTTATGCTAATATCAAAGTTTGGTTAAAAAATCCAAAGGGTTTTTTCTGTGTCTGAAAGCATGTTTGTATTTTTGTGGAATTGCTAAAAATATCTGGTATATAAAGCTCATGATTTTAAATAATTAAGGTACAAGAACTATTGAAATTAAGCCACAGAAGTTTATCATGTTTTACAAAAATTGATCATAGGTCTTATGTTGTTATGTTAATGTACATGTTTGCCTTGGATTAGAATATTTGATCTAGAAGGAGTTAAAATAACTATGACATATGAAAACAGGTTCAAAAAATAATGTTTTAGTTTAAACATGAGTCTCTAGAATTATAAAATTGGTTGCAAAATTTGTCTTACCAGTGCTCTATCTGATCTCTGAGACTCTGCGTAACTAAAATTTCTAGAACTTCTAAGAGTTATAAAGTGGAATAATCTCAGATGTCAGCCTTCTGTAATGGTCTCTGTCTGAGAATGGAGAATTTCATGGAAAATGTGGGAAATTTTACTAACTACATTGTTAATCGACCTTTCCAGTGCTTGAAAGTACATGCTATTATTTTGATAACTTTATTTCATGCTAAGCCTTGTCACCAGGTATCAACCTGGCCCTGTTCTTCAGAAAGCTTTCTACACAAGTGTGAAATACTTAATGTTTCATAATAATCTATGAGTACTTTAATCTTTTGTATTTGTGTTTTCCTGGAAATCAGAATTTTAAGATGTCTTTTAGTTGATTTCTAATGTAAAGTGATCTTTTGCCCAGTGAATATACCTTGTAAGAGCTTTAATTGTGAGCATTTTTTAAGGCTTTTTGAATATCTATGGAAGCATTGCAGAGTACAGTTTTTGTTAAGTGAGACTAAGATAAGGTCAGCACCATTTCTGCCTCCTCTCCAGTCTGGCTCTGCTGACGCCCTCTGGGCCCTAGTGATAGCCTCCTTTGACCCCTACCGAGGATGCCTGGCGGCTCTGTTCAGTGACAGGCCTGACTCCTCATCTCGCTGCCTCTGTTTTCGACTCCTCTTCACAGTTCTGTATGACTGTTCTGGTGGTCCCCGTATTTTGTACCACCCAACTTCCACCCTTTATGATTACTGGTCCAAGCGCGACGTTGCCACACCCCACCGTCCACCGGGAGCCTGTCACCACCCTCACCATCGCTGCCCTGTTCACCCTTGGCCTTGCGGGTACCTGTACGGGCATCACCACCCTGACCTCACAGCACTCCAGTTTAGCTATACTTCGTGTCGCCGTGGATACCGATTTAGAGCACCTTGAAAAATCCATCTCTCACCTCGAGGATTCGCTAACGTCGGAGATTGCTCTTCAAAACCACCCAGGACTGGACTTGTTCTTTATGAAAGAGGGGGGATTGTGTGCTGCCTTGGGGGAGGAGTGTTGCTTTTATGTTAAGCACAGTGGAGTGATTAAAAACTCCATGCTAGATCTAAGGGAAGGTTTGGAGCAGAGATGCCAGCAACCTGAGTCTTCTAGCTCTGGGTGGGCCCTGCACACTCTACTTCCTTACTTGTTGCCACCCTTGGGTCCCCTGACTGCCCTTTTATTGATTGCTACAGTGGGCCCATCCATTTTAACCGAATTATTGCTTTTGTTAGACAACAGATAGCTTCTCTATCTACCAACCCCATATAGGTGCACTATATTCACCTGGCTATGGAAGATGCTAGGCTGTCGCAGGCCTCTGCTGGGTCAGTTGATCTCTCCCGCCTGTCTATCGAATGGACCTTCCCGTCGCGGGAGTAGTGGCGTCGGACCCGTTCCCTGCACCCCCTTTTTTCTTTTTGGAGCCCGTCAGCTGCAAGGC